TGGTTACTGTTCCTGATGACTGTTTATTTTTTTGTAAGTAACCAACAATCCTGGTTATGTCAGGATCAGGAATGGAATTGGGGCAAGGGAGACTAAATTTTAAAATGGCAGGTTGCCAGTTTTCAGCAACTGTGGTTGCAAAGAGCATTAGAAGCTGCAAAATGAGGGTGGGGAGAGATTTCAGGGGTGCACAGATACCTGGGCCCACGAGTTGTTCATCTCCGAACAAAAGATTCCCATGTACCTATGACAAGAGTTGCCACATTTAAGACAGTAATAGAAATAATTAAAATGATGGCTGGCTTGCGAGTACTTGTGGCAAGCTGCGAAAAAGGCATCTGAGGGCTATAGGCAGGTTATGGATTCCCTCACTTTTTTTATAACCTGAAAACATTTGACATGTCTGCCTCAGGGCAAAAAGAAACTTTGTTTTGAAAACCTTCCTCTTATGAATCGTCTTTAACCAAGAGTATCAGGTTACTCTGCATAGTTGGTGCAAGAGTGCAGGAAATACAGATGTGAAATTTCAGACGCATTCAACTGATCTCTGCCAGAACAGAACTGACTAGTCACAAGTGATTTTTTTTTCCTAGGAAGAGGACTCTTTAAGGTTTTAAATGATAGCCGAGGGAAAAGAGGTGCAGATTAGAAAAGATAAGGAAAGCCAGTGCAGCAAACTTCTACTTGAACAAGATGACGCAACTCTGAACTTATCTCTAACTCCAATAAAACCTGAAAGACCAGTGCAATAACGCCCTGCTGCTGCCACCTTCCGTTCACTCTAGGGAAAAAAGGATTAAATTGTTTCAGCCCTTGAGTCTGATCTACAAGGAAATCATGAATTACCTTCGCTGGACAACATATTCTTATACTGTATATACCTCAGCGATAAACTATCAGGCTTTTGGACAGAGCAATTTTACGCATGTGTATTACAAACCTATATGAATGTGAGAAAATTTACTTTTTTTGAATCACTCTAGGAGGAAAGCAATGTTCTCTGTGGTGGCCAGAAATCAGGAGTCACTTCATTAGATGCACAGAGTGACTAAATGGATGTAGTGACTGTTTTGGAAAAATGAAATTTTAACAGTATGCTTGACCGAGCAATTGTTGACCTTACATACTCGCATACGTCAAAAGATTTCAGGCAATCTTAGAAGGTTTCAACCAACACAATGGATTTTTAACTTGTTACAACTGTTCATTGATGAGGTGCTTGTCATCTGTCTCATATATAACCTCATTGGAACCAACCAGTCTTCACCCCAATTTAAATCCTACATCAATCTAGCCACACCATGCATCTGATGAAGGGAGCTGCGTATGCTTTTAATAAAAACTGACTTTTTTCTGAATTAGGGAAACTATGAGAAAATGAATAGCTTGAATTATGGAATGTGTTCTGTGAATATGGAGTTGAAGGTTGAATGCTGATGAAAGTGATAAGAGTGTATGAGATGGAAGAAACGTGCACACGAGAATAAACGGAATGCTTAACAAATGGTTCAGTGCTGAGCTTGCAGTAAGACAAAGATCTTTGGTGTTTCTTTGGTTGTTTAATGCATTTATGCATAAATATGTGAGTAATGTTTGTGGTGATGTAAATGTGTATTTTTGTAGGTGGATGCTGTGTTGTTGGCTGAGAACCCAAATTATCACCTGAGAATGTTAGACTATATGATGCAACAAGGAGTATGGATCTGAAAATGTATGCATCCAAAACCAAGATAGTTGTGTCAGACAGGGAAATTGAGTGAATTGCAAGTCATATATAAATGGCAAAAAATTAGAGCAAGTTGATGAATTTGTGCTTCTAAGTAGGATGTTTATTAAAGACAGAACAACAGATGGAGGCATCTCTCTCTCTCTCTCAACAATACACACACACACACACACAATAAAAACTAATACAAACTAAAAAAAATAAAAGAATAAAAATAAAAAATAGAAAAGAAAAATATT